AAGTTTTGGTAGGTGCACTTTTTTCCAATTTTTGAGATTTAGATTGGCACAACTTTTCGAATTCTTTCATCTTCCTAGCTATTAAGCACAACAACAAATAACATCATTATAAAAACATGTGATGAAGAAATAAATGCAAAAACGATCTCTAATAGGATCTTTAATAGGATCTTTAATAGTGAACCTTTGTCAATTTGGATGATTGACTTTAAGGTTATTTGCCACAAGTGAGATGCTCACTGTTATGGACCTAATGGAACATCATTTTCTTCACGTACCCTAAAGAGTATATTTTGCTGCATTTGTTTCATAAGCAAATTCATGATTTGGCCAGAAGGATGATATGCATATAATAGAAAAAAATTCATGAAGACAAAGGTTGCGTAATAACTTACATTCTTTAGATTTTCGGTTTGATTTGAAATTTGATGATCTATCACTTGCACGAATGTGCTCAAGAGAGATGACATAGCCTAAGCAACACAAGAAAAACAAAAGGGAGAAACATAATGAAGATTAAGAAGAAATATTTAGTGGACTAAGAATTGACAATCTAATCAAACCAAAAACCAAGAATCAAAAGAAGGGTACATACATCAATAGCTCAATAATTTTCATACATGAGACACATGTGTACTCATGTCCTTCATGCTCTCATCAAGAAACAATGACCGAGAAGGAGCAAATCTTAGATATTAAATTAGGAGATTCTAATCGGATCCTAAAAAATCCCAAGATCGCGTGTTAGTGATAATATATGAAACGAATATTTGATTCTATTAATATATTTTTTTAAGTCAAATCTTGTGTTTGTAACAAACATAAAATGTTTGTAACCGAATATCTTTTGTCAATATTTTCTTTAGATGTATTTGTAAAATCTTAAAAGAGAAGTGAATTTATACTCAATAGATACCTTACGATTTGATATTCTTTGTATTGACAAAATCCATATGTTAAGATTTGATTTAATCTCACCTGGCCGTTATTTATTTCTTTTGTAGTCGTAGTGTATTCTATATAAATCATAAAAATTCACAAAAGATTTTTGCTTTTTTTTTTGTCATATGCTCTCATGGTCAATTTAAAAAAAAAAAACTAATGTTACAAATCTAAGTAACACCACAAATACATGGCCTATTCGTGTAAAGGTATTTCATAATCTATAGGATTTATTTAACCTTTTTTATGTCCTTTACTATATTTTATGTAAAATAGATCAAATACCATATTAACCTAGACTTTCTCAGGCAAGTTCCCCAACGAATTATGGATGGAGCCGCTAAATGAATTATGAGACAAATTAAGAGATGATACGATAAAACAACAAAAAATATAAAGCACCCTAATTTTTTTAGTTTTATTATTTTAATTAATTAGCTCAAATTTAAGCTATGTCATCTTTTTTGACAAACCATGTCATCTTTTTGAACCAATAAAATTAAAACAAATAAGCAAACTTAATAAATCTACTTCTCTTTTAATAAGAAGGGGATAG